TAGCTGGTTCAGGTGTGTTTAATTAGAGTTGGAGCTGAACTCTGCAGGACACCGGCCCTCCAGGACCGAGTTTGGACAGCCCTGCACTAGACTGTCAATTTGTTAAGAATTATTCTGTGGTTGTTGTTGTTTTTTTTTCTTCTTCCTTTCACTATACATTTTTTTTCTATTATATTGTTCGGCTTTTATAATATCATTTTAACTAACAAAGTTAGTTCCTTAATGACATCATCATCCAGGAAGTGACATCACTTTGGATGGAAAACAACAGCACAAACATAATTAGGCATTACTAAATGATTTGGTTATTTCTGTGAAGTTTTGTGGTATTACACTGAAAAACAAAAACAGGCGTAGAAACCATTTTCACTCAGAAATTCATAGTATTTAACAATTAATTGCAAAGAAACGTCAAGCAATGCATTGAATTAAACGTGAAATATTGAAGTAGAAAGACTGAAATAGTATTTTGTTGTAAAATATATTACAATAATTTGATAATAATAATTATTATTATTTACAACTATGAAAAATCCTTTTGTAGTGTATTTCTTTTTACTCTAAAATATTTCACCCTGTTTGAATATCAAAATGTTCTCCCCAGTGAATTATTTTATATTCTGAGAATGTTTTCCTAATGTTTCCATAATTCACGAATGCTTTAAGAATGTTTTTACATAGTTATAGAAAGAGCTCATAATGACAGCAATCATTTTCACTGCTAACAGAGCTCATTCTTATACCCTTGAATCGACTGGATTTCTTTAAAGCCAACTTTAACCAGCAAGTATGTGTTTAATACTATGTGCAAGGTCCCGTATAGTAATTAACTAAATGGACTGCAGTGCTGTTCCCTGAGCTGAGCATGAGCTGCTTTTATCCATTATCCCCATCTACTGTAAACTTAATATTTCTTGAAGCGGCTGAACAGTTCCTGTGTTCTCTGATGGTCATATTTCAAGCCAAAATCTAAAGAAAATGATAAGTAATTGCAACATTTATGGCCATGGTTATTAAGCACATTCACCCCAATTTCAAAGAAGTGTCCAAAAGTTTGAGTTTGTAAGTCTCAATGATTTCTCATCACTGTAATACGCAAGTATAAAATGATAAGTATAAAAAATATTTAATTTGAATAAATATGAGATTTTTTTTTCTGTTAATTTGGGAATAGATATGTAAATAATCTTACAATGGAAAAAAAAATAAAAAATACAACTTCCAAAATGTACTTGATCATCTTTAAAATATATGTATTTGTTTTTTTTCTTCTTTTTTAATTTAGGAAATGATTTAAAGAAACTAAGTAACAATAAATAAACAATAGCAATATAATAGTAAATCAACATAAAACATTTTTATCAAACAATTTTTGGCTATGAAAACTTGAAGCTGTTATTATTATTATTATTATTATTATTATGCACTTTAAAAAGTACTTAAATAGCGTTTTTTTTTTTTTTTACCTGATCTGATTTTTAAAAATTACTGTCACTGGTGCATTCTATGTAGTCAGATTCATTCAGTTTTGGAACAGGAAGCACATTTTAGATTTGCAGATAATTGTTTTGTTTTTTATTTTGTTTAGTTATGTGTGTGTGTGTGTGTGTATGTGTGTGTGTGTGTGTGTGAGTGTGTGTGAGTCTGTGTGTTTGTGTGTGTGTGTGAGTGTGTGTGAGTCTGTGTGTGTGTGAGTGTGTCTCAGCCCAAATTGATGTGCAATTAATTAGTAATTAATTAGATTAATTAATCAGCACATCATGTTATTATTTAGATAAAAAATTTTAATCGCTTGACCTACATAAAACACAAAATCCTTCATCGATTGTGAGTGTGTGTGTGTGTGTGTGTGTGTGAGTGTGTGTGAGTCTGTGTGTGTGTGTTTTGGTTTGGTTTGAGCTGCAGTGCTGTTCTTGTTTCATAGCAGTGACTATGACGCTAGAGTTAGAGATTTAAAGAATGTATTCTTTTACAAACAGTCTTGGGTTCTGAAACACATTCATTCTCGTATCTTCATCTAGGCAGCCTGAATATAAATTTACATGCAAAACCAGAGACAATCCGCTAGGGATTTGACAACAAAGATCCACAGAGGACAAGAGAAAGACAATGAAGATATTATTATGTCAAGTATATCTACACAAGTCTCCGGTGACCTCTGCATCTGTGAGAATAAGCAACACTAAAGACAAAAAAGGCTTTTGTGGGTACGTGATTTCTCAGCCATCTGTACAACTGCAGCTCAACGGAACATGAATGAAAACACACGGACGATTCACCAGAGACCAAAGGATCTCCTCATAATAAAAAAAAGAACTGTGACCTTAATACTCTACACAATTTTTTTCCCATCAAGCAACAACAAAATCTCTGTGTCTTTGGGATCCTGTGTATGTGGGTATTATATTCTTGTGCATTATAGCAATTATTAACAGCAATAAGAGAGCATTGTGAAATCAAACAGGGTCATGATGACGTGAAGTATGTTGGGAGAGCCCTGAGAGCAGGAGCGCGTAGTGAAGTGTGACGGCAGCATATATAGGTCAGCTCCACTCATAAGGAGAGATTATGAAGTTATCATACGCTCCCTCTGGCATTTCCCTTTAGCAGCCATCATGAGCTTTCAGAAGAGACAAAGTATTTTCATTAGTTCAGAGTCTGCTGTGGCTTTCTGTAGAGAATGTAGAGTCATGCAGCTAACATTAATGATAGTGTTTGCAATTTTCTCAATATACTGATATGCACACACACACACACACACACAAATCACACACACACACACACACTCTCACACACACACACACACACACACATATATATAATACCATTTTAAGACCAATTAAAGAAAATTTAAGTAATAAATATGCACATAAACACAATGTCAGTATGTTCTCTAAATCTATCTATCTATCTATCTATCTATCTATATATATATATCTATCTATCATCTATCTCTCTCTCTCTCTCTCTCTCTATATATATATATATATATATATTGTATTAGTAACAGTTTAGAAACAACTTTCAATAGGTATCCATTACGTTTTTTATTCATTTTACAAAAAAAAGAACTTTTTTTCCAGTGCAAATGTTTAAAGATATACTGAGAAGCAAAATTATAAGACATATGAAGTCTTGAATTCTGTGAAATTGATCAAAATTAAGACAATGAGATCAGAAAAATCAACTTAATTCAAAGGGAAAACATTTCATAGCTCATTGACAGATATGTGCTCTTGTTTCAAGCACAATCTTCATTTTGTTCAGTTTCTCAGAAAACAAGGCTTCATTTCTTCATTTTGCAAGTAAGTGTATCTTGATTTAAGGATGTTTAGATATTTGTACTGGAAAACAAGACAAACATACTGAAGATATTCTCTTTTTTCTCTCTCTGGCTGTGGTTTAGTCTTTAATAATAAGCTTTCTATAAAAAGTCTGTGGTGCCCATTTAGATAGTTAGGTAAATGTGTGTGTGTGTTTGTGTGTGGAAATGCATTTACCAAGCCACGACTGTCCCAGAGTGCCCAGGGTTTAATACCAGCCTGCGTCTCGGGCCTGTTTGATGAACCTCATGGGCAACCCTGACCATCAGTCCTAACCTCACATCCAATAACCTCACATCCCTAACCTCAATCCTCATGAATCTCATAAAGCCTTCTCATAATCAACAGTGTGGCATCAGATCCATAGTGAAACAATAAAGCACCGAAAGGCACCATTTTGGTCCGGCACACAGCTAATAATGATGAAGTCCTTACATTATATTACAGAGCAAGCATTGCCATATCGCATAAAGTTACATATAACAAGTATATAGTATATAGTCTATATTAATCAGATGTGCATCCTGTTGTCTTTTGGAGGTGTGTAAACAGCATCATGCTCAAATGCATGTCAGCATCACTCTGTCATGCGCTTCGTGATAGGAGGGAAGAGAGGAAAGCTCAATGACACCAGAGAGAGAGAGAGAGAGAGAGAGAGAGAGAGAGAGAGTGAGTTCCCATTGGAATTAAACACCCACAGAAACACCCACAGAAACCCACATCTCTAAACGACTGATTGGCGTCTGCAGAGCGCTAAATGGCTCTTCAATGCACGCATCCATACACGGACAATAAAGCGCGAGCTCAAACACACCTACCTGGGACAGCACGAGCTGTCTGTGAATCATACTCCAGCCGCGATCCTAAAAGCCAAACGCGATAATCCCGAGCAGAAAGATTCGGTGGAAATCCATTTCGAGCAGCAGAAAGCAGAGCGCCACTCTCTCCCGCATCAGCACCGCGGACAGCAGCCAATCAGCAGCCGGCATTTCTTCAGCCTCCTGCCTGACTCCTCCCATAAAACATCATCTCTTATATTTCCTGCCGAGATGATCTGTGCCTGGAAGTCCTGAAAAAAACGCATTTTCTTCCACAAAGCGAGTAAATTTATACTCAAATCGGCAGTAATTATAGCATTATTATTATTATCATCAAATACATTCATTATTATCTGTTAGAATTTATAATGTACTGTTGGTTAATATTTCATGTTAGGCTATAAATTGACTTTTGTAGTAGTAATAATAATAATTAATTAACTAGTTTCATTTACCAAAAATCCAAATCTGTTCCTGCACGGATCTCCTCCTGTTGCAAAAACTACACATTGTTTAAAATTGTAACATTTTCTGCATCATGACAGGAAGAAAAAAGAAATGATCTTATTCAGATAAGCAGTTTTGTCCGCTTTAAATAAGCAACTGTAATTGTATTGCTGTTTAATTATAACCTGTCGACTATTTCAGATTATAAGCAGTCACACTATTTATTGTAAAAGCATCCACACGCGTCATAGACCCTTTCTGTGTTTACGGACATGACGTGAGCACATAAGAACGAATGAGGTCGGCTTGACATTTCCCGCCAAATCCAACCCGACAGACTAGTGTGCTATTTATTTATTTATTTAATTACTTGTACAAACAGAAAAGCAGAAAACAGAAAAGGACATTATGCATTAATATTACAGACATTTCCATTAACCCTAAATCACAACCCAATGAACATTTCTTCATATTAATACAGTACAGTGTGCCCTA